GGACGGGCATATTCTGTAACCCGATCGATGAACGCACTTCCAACACAGTTAATGTCCTTAATCAGAACGGGCAGGTCGACGAGCCCGCGGCCCAGTTAGTAGAGCGTGGGATCTGATGACGCCTGATGACCAAAAACCTCCGGCTTGAGACTCAGGCGCTGTACACCTGGACCTGGCTGACGGCGACTGGCAGGCTAGAAACGGCCATGTCTTGCCTTTATCGGCAAACCTGCTCTGCCCACTATGCCACTGCATAACACAATTTACCTTCTTACTTAACTATCGCTTTTCATAGGTGCTTTGAACAATTCATTTTGATTTAACAATGAAAAACTCGGCGACTTCTGTGAGATTCGAACCCATGACAGCAAGGGGAAGGCTTGAATTCAGCCAATATTCTAGTCGCCAGAACTATGAGGTCCCATCGGGAGCTGTGAGTTTAATCATATTTGGGTCAAGTTAGCCGCTCAGCCTACTAGGACTTAGGGAATCCACCGAATTCGATACAGTAAGCTAGCTGCCAAAGCGGGATTTCCTAAGTAATCAATCTAGAATCCACCAGATGGCAATCTGGCTCACGTAATTTTGAATAATTCCTTTTGACTCGCCTGTGGAAAACTCGGCGACCTCTGTAAGATTTGAACACATAAGAGCAAGGGGAGGCTTGAGTACAGTCAATGTTCTAACCACCTTGCGCTTTTCGGCTTCAAAAATGCAAGCGAAGGGACTAACCAATGTTTAATGCATTTAAATCAACTCACTCAGCGGCGAAACTACTGTTAAAGAGCAACTGTTTCATGACATTTCAAAAAAGCCTATACATGCAGTGATCGTTGACAATCAGGAAACGTGCGGTATACTCTCTTGATGGGCTTTCAGAAAGAGGATAGTATTCAGGCGAGGTTGCCCAATCTATAAACAGAAGATGTAATTGTAGTACAGTTCCCAGAAGGTGACATGCGGGTTCTAGAGTAGACGGTGGATGAAAAGACGCCCAGAGTTCAAATATATTTTAATTTGGTAGACGAACGCCTGTCCTGTCGGTTGCGATAGGACATATATATATATATCGTGGTAGAGGGAGGCTCACCGATTGTTTTTACGGAACTCACTCGTCCCGTTGTGCATTACAGGCTCTCTCTCGAGCCCAACCAGCAGCCGCACAGCGGCGCATGATATAGGTTGAATGACAGAATGGTCATTCCAGTCTCCCTTGTCTTTGTCGGTAATGTCATTCTGCCTATATCATGCGCCATTGTGCGGCTGCTGGTTGGGCTCGAGAGACAGAGCCCTAAGGTAAAACAGGATGAGTGAGTTCCGCAACACGATTCGTGAGTGTCCCTCTACCACTTTGATATCTTTCCAGATACTTTACGCTGCAAAAATTTCTATTTAAAAAGTGTACAGTTTTGCATTTATTTATGATAATTTTAATACATAAATTGCATCTCATAACATCAGGGCAATAAAGACCGAAGTGCTCATCAAATTTAATATCTGGTTAAGTGGAGGATTTATTTTTTAGAATACTTATTATTATCACAAATTCAAAGACCCTAACGTGGTTATTTACTTAGACTGGTGTTCTTGGTTTTGTTAGTTTCACTTTCGCATTGCAGCATGCCATGAGCATCAAAACACCTCATTATACGAATGGGATGATTCAGATGGACTCTTTTCAGGGAAGTCAAATAGCCTGCAGTTTAAAATTATTAAGAAAAAGTGGAAGTGCGGACTGTGCTTTAAAGGATTCACGCATCAGCAGACCCTCTTAAACTGAAACACAACCATTCCTTAAGTGTCATACTTGAAACAGACGCAATTTCCTGCAATGTTTATGCATGATTCTATGAAATATGGTTGTGAATAAAGAGATGCGGTCGTGGAACGAGAATCTTATTCACCCAACGGTTCAAATTCTCCTTCGAGTGAGAAATGCTAGGTTAATAAACGTCTTGTCCCAGCGATAACTTCTCTCTCTCTCTCATTTCAACTGCCACCTGGAACTTAAATTTTCGCTTGTATCGGCAAGTATGTTTACATTTACCAGCCATCCAAAGTCCCAGCAAGTACATGCTAACTGAGCGTTCTTGTTGCGCGCACTTTGCACATGCGAGTGAGCAGGATTTCTGATCGGAACACAACACACCACCACGTGGGCACTGAGTTTGGATACTTTTTGTTTCCGATCATCCTTACAACGTCACGTATTTAACTGTTTCCAACTAAAAGAACATCGGAAAAGCCCGCTTAATGCTCCAAGAGTTTTTAGTCAATACTGTGGGTCGTCTTCCTCAAATGTAGCCAAGTGAAAACATCTCGTTTTTAAACAAGACAGAATCGCGGATAGGTGCAGAGTCTAACAACGTCAGAAAATTTCGTGACCTCATATAAGGGTTCTTGTGATCACTGCGTGTTTATAAGATTAACGGCTTGACAAGAAAACGGCCTAGAACGATCAAGCATGATAGTTAAATAAAAACAGGGAATGTCGATTAAACGCGTTGGCCGGCATGGGGCGGAGAAGGGGGGGGAGCAGAAGGGACTTGTACGGATGAGCGAACTAATCGGCCGGAGACTGCGATGTGAATACCAGGGGTTCTATAGGTGACCTACGAGCAAATTCTAGGGGTGATTATTCTTTTGTCCTAGATTTACCTCCAACCGTAAAATTACTCCTAATACTAACCTTAATTCTGGTCCTTCTGAAATGTAAGGTGAGGACGCCTGTACTGCCGGGGACCCCTATTCCCCTGTCCCGTCCGTTAATCTCACAAATTTCATAAATATTTTATAATTGTTATAATAAATATGCAATGGCTCTTAGGACGAAGAGGCCTAGGAACTGCACACTGGCCTAGAGATCTACTAGGCTGAATGACCTGCTTAAGTCCCCTCGGATGTGATCGGGAATATTCGCATGTCAGCAGCATACAGTAGGTGGGCTAACTCATGAAACGTCAACCGAAATTCGGAAATGCGTTTTCGCTTAGAACAGATTAATTAAGTAGAATTGAAGAACAAATCATCAGGCAGTATAATTCTATAATATTTCAGTTACCACAGGATGCCGGCTTTCGAATGAACTTCCTTCCAGCTGCATGCAAAAGCTATACTCTGTAAAAAGTGACCACTTAAATAGCATGCATTTTTCTGATTAATTTTCGATGCCTTTAAAAATTCAATTATATTTCATGGAAAACATGCATAAACATATTCATTAACTCACTCATTCGGTAGAAAATTATGTCTTCTTCCAATTTTATACTCACAAGAGGGGTATAATTCGGTTTTAAAAAAGTTTCTAAGTGTGAGATTTTCTAGTACCATGAAATGACCGTTCGTAAAACGTCATGTCTCTGCATTTACCAATGTGGCTTGTAAAGTTAACAACATTGCTCAAATCCACTGCTGAATTTTAGGAACCCCATATGGTGTCCACTTAATACCATAGAGAAACGTATGCTTTTCCATACGCGGAAAATATATGGTTTGCAGATTGGAAACCCTGGATGCGAGTGTAACGGCAGGTCGGATTGAACATTATTCGGGAAGTGGAAAAGTTTTTGAAAACCAAATTATACCCTTCTTGCGAGTATAGCATTGAAAAAAGACGTAATTTTCTACTGAATGAGCAAAAGAATTAATAATGCTATGCATGTTTTCCATGAAATATAATTGAATTTTTAAGAGGATCAAAAATCAATGAGAAACATGCATGCTGGTTAGGTAGTCACTTTTTACAGAGTACAGTTCCTGCATGCAGCCGAAAGGAACTTCGTTCGAAAGCCGGCATCCTGTGGTACCTGAATTGTTACAGGATTATACTGCAGACTGATTAGTTTTACAACCATACTTAGTTGATCTTTCCGAAACGAAAACGCATTTCGGAATTTTGGTTGACATTTCATGAGTTAGCCCACCTACTGTACATGTCGCTATATACAGTGCTCTGGGTATGTTGAATAATGCCCATATGTATGTGGACCCTGGGCTCTCTGGTAATGGCCTTCAGTTCCCTCCCATGTAGCCGGATAGCTTCACAAAACACTACCTTCATCCTTGGTAGATGACAAACACTAACTGAAAGTCGGTGGGACAGACTTATGTGAAAACAGGACATGGAAGTAGGAACGCCCTGCCTAAGTAATAAAAGTGGACTTGCGCATAATTTTAGAAAGGACAAAATATTCCTCTGTACTAACCCCAACAATAGCCCTAATATAAAACTAGATCGTTGCCCTAAATTTGGCCCTAACCCCACCCTAACTCTGTAGTTAACACAAGCCCCCACCATAACCCTAGACTTGGTCCCAACTTAAGTTACCGTTGACTTTAAATCTAATCTTAAACTTAATCCGTAACTCAAACTTAACTCTTACCTTAAACCTAATCCTAGTTTCACTGAAAGTTGGCTCATAGCCACGCTTGTTGCAGGAAGTTTCTGTTCTCATGTCCTGTTTGGATTTCCTACCCTGAAGGTCTTCTTCCTTTGAGTTGGTTGAGATAGGCCTCCGTGGCTCGAATTATTTATGTACTCAAGTACAGCGTCAAACAAGATCGAAGTGAAGTTTAAATTCCTTGAAGGGCAACCAGAAAGTTAGAGTCCTTGGGTCGATTACACAACTTCAAATGGCCATAGCGATCAGTTCGCAGAGAAGTTTGAGTAATTTCAGAAAACATTGTGGATTTGTTTAATAGGAAGGCTGTTGACACACCCGAAAGCACACAGAAGGTAGAGAAAGCTCTCTGAGGTCAAGAAAAGTATAAAAAATTAACGCACACGTAGATACGTGTAAGGCATTGCTCAAAGCAGTTAGAAGGAATAGGGTCTTAAAGTTGCATGAACCAAGGTACAGATAGACTCTAGCAGAATGATTGTCACACAAAAAGTCGCCTCCAGTTACATCTAGTCGCAGTAAGTAGATTCACTCACGAAAACAAAAAGTAATCTATGAGGACAACATCAAGATTAGACAGTCAGATTAGTCAAACAACGATCACATTACCACTTTGGGTTTCACATGTGGGCTGGGGGGTGATGGAACTGACAGTGAGGAGGAAGATGAGGAAGTGGTGGAAGAGACTGTTAAAAGGCTGGTCGGAAAGTCGAAGGGTGCTTCGGAGAAGACGCTCACACGTGTATATTCCATGCTCGGTTCTCGGTTTGTCGCGGCGAAGTTGATGCGCTTCATGTAGAGCACCTCTCGCAAGTCCGCCCCGCCCTGCCGCACGGGTGAACAGTACCGTGAGCGTCGTCCGCTCCCTTCACGACGCCAAATATACACAGCCGACCCCGGTTCCTTCTCTTCCCGCCGTTCCCCCTCCGTCTGCCCTTTCTCTCCGGTCTCCTCGATAGTCATAGGTCGAGTGTCCACTGGCCCACCGTCCTCCCTGACTCCACGAACCAGGTTTTGCAACTGCGTCATAACCTGGGTGTCTTGGAAACGCAGAACCAGAACCTCGTGGGGTTTCTTGGCCGGTCCACTGCTGCTGCTGCTGCTACCCGTTCCGAATTGTAAAAGGAGCAGGTTGCTGCCCAAGGCGCCCACGTCGTGCAACTGACGACAAGCAGTTAGCTTGGATACTTTGAGGCGTTTCACTGTTCGGCCGCCCCGACTGGAGTCCAGGGTTGCTTTCGAATTTCTCTTCGCTTTCCTGAGACGGAGGCTCTTCTCATTTACCTCAAGGAGGAGAAGGCGACCTGCCTGATTCTGACCGACATCCTTGGACTTGGATTTGCGTTTGGCGTTGGTGGAAGTGGCCAGAAGGGTCACCAGTTCGGCGCCAGTGCTGCAACTGACTGCTGGTCGACCGCGATAGACCAGCTCCACGAGTGTTTTAAGTTTCTCCGTTGCCGCGGCGGCTGCTACGGCTCTCCGGCAGGGCATTGCGAGCAGGGCAGAGAGGACGATCGACTGAGGCTCAGATAGGTGTGCGCGTCCAGTTATTAAGACTGCGGAAGGTGTGCGTGTGTGTCTGTGGGTAAATTACGCGAATCCGTGGGGGGGGGGGTGATGGAGGGGGGGCGAGAAGGCAGGCACGTAAATCAGCACGGTTCCTCAGAGGGAGCCTGCTTCTGCACAGTCAGAAGAGATCACATGTAATTTGACGACTGTCTTGACTGCGACTACATGAGAAGACAGCTGCAGGTAGGATTTTCGAGACATGATCGACGATCTGTCCCATGCGATCCAACGTAGTAGCTCCCTAAACACGGACTTAAAACTGCGCTTATCCCTCTTTTAGACTGGAAAGGCAAATCGGAGGCCGTACCATCTCGATGCAGGTTTTAAGTTCCGCGCTTTTGTGAATATAAATATTTTCGTGAAGGAATAATTTCTAGTGGGACTTGTTCATGGCAAAAACGCAAGAAATTCCATTAAGAATACCAGATTGGGGATACTTCTAGCATACTGGAAAGTTCTGCGTCTCTGGGGCTACGAGCGGATCCGAAAGAAACATAAAAACATGAAAAACTGCTTTACAAAGCAGCCAACGAAAGTACCGGCTTAGAGCCAACCCGCCGCAATCGTGTTTCAAGCCAGTGGACACTTTAAAGACCCCTCATCAGCCAACAAATCAGCGAAATCTCAGTCTTCGCCTGGTAATTCTGCATAATGTTGATCCTTGTTTCGCGACAATGGCAACTATTTTTATGCAAACTCCTCCTACCAAATCCTCCTCAGGATATCGCTAAAACACGAATTATCGACTATCGCCACCCCAAAGAGAAACCAAGCGCACCGCTCTCTATCTTCTCCTTTAGCACATCTTCCTAATATTTCTTTTAGTGCTCTTGTCTAAGTGTAGTTAAGTCATTTTCTATGCGACCTTAAAGCAAAATCTTTTTCCATGTACAGTAGGTGGGCTAACTCATGAAATGTCAACCGAAATGACGGAATGCGTTTTCGATTCGAAAAGATTAATTAAGAAGGGTTGTAGAACTAGTTAGCCTGAAACATAATCCTATAATATTTCAGTTACGTCAGGATGTCGGCTTTCGAATGAACAGTCTTTCGGGCGATTTAAGGAGCATAAATTTTTCGCATTGATTTTCAATGCCGTTAAAAATTCAATCATATTTCATGGAAAACATGCACAGAAGTATTTATTCTTCTGATCATTCAGTAGGCAATTACGTCTTATTCCAACCTTATACTCAAAGGAACGGTGTAATTCGGTGTTCAAAGACTTTTCCAATTCTCGAATAATTTTGAACCCGCTCTACCGTCACACTTGGATTCAGGATTTCCAAACTACAAGCCGTATATTTTCTGCGTAAAGAAAATCCCACATTTCTCTACGGTAATAAAGGGAGATCATATGGTGTTGATGAAATTAAACAATGGATTTGATCCATAATGTTAACTTTACAAGCCACACTGTTAAATGCAGAGACATGACGGCTTATAAACGGCCATTCCACGGTATTTAAGTCTCACAATCAGAAACTTTTTAAAACCGAATTATGTCTCTTCTTGGAGTATAAAATTAGAAGAAAACGTAATTGTCTACCGAAAGAGCAAAAGAATGAATATTTTTATGAATGTTTTCCAAGAAGTATAATTGGACTTTTAGAGACACTGAAATTCAATGAGAAAAATCCATGCTATTTAGGTAGTCGTTTCTTACAGAATGTTGTCTTTGCCTGCAGCCGGAAAGAAGTTCGTTCGAAAGCCGACATCCGGACGTAACTGAAATAATATTGAATCATGTTTCAGGCTGACAAGTTCTACAACTCTACTTAATTAATCTTTTCGAAACGGAAACGCATTTAGGAATTTCGGTTGACATTTCATGATTTAGCCCACATCTGTACGTCACACATGAGTACTCTCCAACTGCTACTAGAACATCCGGAGGGTAGTTCATAACGACTGTGAGTAAAAGTGTACTGCACGTTGAAGAGAAGGTATTCCGTGTGGAAACGTAATCCTAAGTGTTTGTAACTTTTCAGAGAACATGCACCTGTGAGGGATAAATCATTACCCTACGGGGCGGATTAAGAGATGCCCTCAAAAAGCTTACTTTGCCGACCAAAATTTCATCCGTACAGCATTCAGACAGTAAGCTCTTGCCGCTCACATGGCAGTTCCTGCGCTGTAGTACCATAAGCTCGTTGTAATTTGTTAAAATTAAAAGCCAGTCACATATCACGGCCGAGGAGTTTTCACCGGAAAGCTTCAACGGGAATCCGGAGTTAATCCTTATTTGCCATGCAAAATTTCAAAGACCCAGTGAGGAACCGTAAACATCATTGATTAATCAGCAAAAGCGTGCTAAGTGCTTCCAACTGGGTTTGCACCCACAGAAAACAGTCGCGAGGTCTTAAGTCAGTTATCTGTGATAGAAGGCTTGCTTTATGGTTACTCAAACTGAAGTAGTTCTTAGTTTTTGCTTCATCAATTTCCTGTAATCGGCTTACTGAAACCCACCTCAGTCAACACAGACCGGCTGTCGAATTAAAACCTAATCCCCGGGGTTTTAATGTATACTCCAGAGGAAGTCTTTGCGATCGATGGAACACGCAGTTTATTGACCTGACGTTTCAGATCCCCATGCGAGTCCGCCATTAGAGACAGTCGCAGAAAAGATTAAAGGGGCAGTACAAGGTACGCAGTGCTTTCAGGGCGCGGTTGTCAGACAACCACACCCCTACCATATTTAGAAGTACTCGTGTTCATCGCAGGGGTTGTAGTTGATGCGATGATTGCTTATTGGTCCGTACCCGAGTCGTTTATGGCCGTGATTTCATCATCGTTGTCGATTATTGGCGTGACAACTACTTAGCATTTTGGCTTGCCGCCACCGTGACTGCTGGTCGCTTGCAGTATCCCCGCTTGACTAGTAGTTTTGCGTAGGTAAAATCGCAGCACAGAATATGGAGGCTGAAGGTCATTGCCTCCGTACGTTCAATGCAGGCCGGAGAATAATGAATCTAACAGCTCACGGCACACGCGGCCGTCACCTTTTGTGAGGACTTCGGCCTCATCAGACTTAAAGGCATGGCCGGGTCTCATCGAATGAACCGCTGTCTGGGCGTCATCGTCACTCTCGGAAACACCTATCTTTCCAACTAGGATGCTACTGAAATCAATGGAGTTTAAGGTGAAGTGATTCTAGTACATACTATGACTGCACATCCTTAAGGATGGTAAGAGCCCGCGTTCGGTCGAATCCATCTTAACACCTCTGGTTCATGATAACTTGCTGGGTGGTCTCTGAACGGCTGTACCATCCATCATTCTACTCATTGAGAACGTCGATTCCTTCCACCATCTTCCATCGGTTGCACTCCTAGAGTAGGAACATTAAAAGCAGCACCACTACTTCTCATCTGATGACGCTCGAACCCCAGTCACTGAGAGGCATAACCATCAAAGGTGATAGAATCCCTCCAATACTTGCCGCTCTCCGATATGGGGACGTTTGAGAGGGCCTTAGAGGGTAGCTCCATGACAAAAAGTAACGTCGTGAATCTTTCGCATAATCGTATTAGATGAGTAAATGCTATTCACACGTAGTTTCTAACTTCCTGCGCCAGTTATTTTACCCTGCGGCAATCGATATTAACTGTTAAAGAAGCCATGTGTAAGATGCTAAACTCTTAGGTGCCACGCGACTCCCTGCCATCGGACATGTTCTCTGGACTTGTTGATCGGGTTCGTCTCTTTTCTTTTTTCCTTTCTTCTTCTTCTTCTTCTTCTTCTTCTTCTTCTTCCACCTCCCCCCTCACCACCACCACCACCACCACCACCACCACCACCACCACCACCATCATCATCATCATTATCATCGACATTCTCCACCCCATCGTGATCTTCATCGCCTAGGTAGTTTTCTTCACTTGACAGTTTTCAAGCGTCGCGATTTTGCTTCCAATTGTTTCTTCTTTTTTGAAGTCTCCATTTATCGTTCTACATTAGGTGGGCTTACTCATGAAATGTCAACCGAAATTCCGAAATGCGTTTTCGTTTCAAAAAGATTAATTAAGTAAGATTGCAAAACTAATCAGTCTGCAGTATAATTATATAATCATTCAGTTACCTCAAGATGCCGGCTTTCGAATGAACTTCCTTCCGGCTGCATGCACGAAGGACACTCTGTAAGAAATGACTACTTAATTAGCATGCATTTTTCTCCTCGATTTTCGATGTCCCTAAAAGTTTAATTATATTTCATGGGAAACATACATAAAAATGTGCATTCTTTTGCACACTCCGTAGATAATTACGTCTTCTTTCAATGTTATACTCGAAAGAGGGACATAATTCGGTATTGAACAAGTTTTCCAATTCCTGGATTCAGGGTTTTCAAACTACAATTCGTATATTTTCCGAGTACGGAAAACCACATATTTCTCTACGGTACTAAATGGGGACCATATAGGGTTCATAAAACTAAGCGGTGGATTTGTTCCATAGTGTTAACTTTACAAGCCACATTGGTAAATGCAGAGATATGACAATTTATAAACGGCCATTCCACGGTATTTAAAAGTCCCACAGTTAGAAACTTTTTTAAAACCGAATTATACTCTTTTTTCGAGTTCAAAATTGGAAGAAGACGTAATTTTCTACCGAACGAGCGAAAGAATGAATATTTTTATGCACGTTTTCTAAGAAATATAACTGGACTTTTGGGGGCATCGATAATCGAGGAGAAAAATTCATGCTACTTAAGTAGTCATTTTTTACAGAGTGGAGTGCTTGCGTGCAGTCGGAAGGAGGTTCATTCGAAAGCCGGAATTCTGAGGTAACTGAAATGTTATAGAATTATGTTGCAGGCTGGCTAGTTTTACCACCCTACTTAATTAACCTTTTCGAAACGAAAACGCATTTCGGAATTTCGGTTGACATTTCATGAGTTATCCCACTTACTGTACGTA